TACGCAGTATTTACTTATTCAGAGCTAATAAACTTTTTATATTCGTTTCCAATTGCTTTACGTCTGTAAAGTGACATTTTGCTGTGTGTAAAGTGACATTTTACGCACGCTCTCCGTGCGCAAAACCCCACTTCCCACACATTGCGAGAAAAAGAAGGTTCGATACTCGCGGGAAAAGTGTTTTTAGGTTTATGGGAGGTTTATAGCACGAGCCGAAGGCGAGTGATATAATCCCACGAGTCTGGGAAACACTTTCGAGCAATCGTATCGAAATATACTATAGTAAATCAGTTTTAAATCCTCATAACTACAGATTATATTCTTCGAATCCCTCCAAAACCGTGTCTTCGAGAGTTCGAAAGGCCGTCGTCACGGGAAAGTGTTGAAGGAAAGAACAATATCGGAGCAACTGGACAGCTATCAGAAAAATTATCCATAATAAATCAGTTGATTTGGAATATTTCAACTATTTTCAGCTGAACCTCCAGGTGTAATTTTCTACGAACGCACCTCCATAAATCTCACCTCTCCCTTGCACACCCCCGATAAATTATCATTAAACCATCATCGCTGTTCCAATATTTATGAATTACCCATATCTTGAAGTATGAAGTCCCGTGACTGGCATTCCCCCGTTAATTAACCAATCACTGTCTCAAACTGCTCACCGCAGGATGATTGAACGGGTGGCGAGCGTCGGTAGAATGAAGAAACCCCGGCATGAAAGTAATCGCCAGACACCAAGAGAAGCAAAAGGACGAGTGCAGGTGCATAAAAGCAAAATATTCAATGAGTCTTCCTCGTCGTGACGCATAGATATCGATGAATTGTCCAGGGAATCGAAACACCCTGGAGAATAGTAGAAGTAGTAAAGCGTAGAGTGAAGTGAAACGATTGGAGAGAGAGAGAATGTAGAAGACAGGATGCGCACGAGGGGACCGGACGTTACCGCCTACGAATACTCAAGCAGTTCCAGAAACGAAGGAAATGTACCCTCGTATTCACGTGGATGCGCTCCAACCACACACTCATCGATGGAATTCTTGATAATAAACATGATAAATATTGACTAGAACGAACGATAAACATGATCACGGACAATCCCAGCGATTTAAATTCAATTTTCAATTATTTATTGAGGCCAATAGAAATTTATTTTTCTCATCGCAGGGAACATTTCTCCCCCATAGCTGAATTTTCGTTGTATTTTTCATTTATTAATTCAACTCGTGGGTTTATTTTCATCGAATGTAAACAAATCATGAAATTTTTTTTCCGATGAGACAGTTGAGATAAAATTGATGCCAGGTATTCATCATTTTTCTCCAGAATTTGGGGAGACAGCGGGCTTTTTTGTAATTAGCGAGAAAATTATTTAGTAGCGAAGTGGTAAAACGGTTTAAGTCGATTTTGATTATTGGCCAGTTTTTAGTGAATACCTCGGAATCTAGGGGAGATAGCTAAATTTTCGTCATGACCTTTCTTGTAGCACTCAATTTGCTCTAGAAAAAAGGTTATTATGAAAATTTCATTATCTCCTTTAGATTCGGAGATATTCTTCAAAAACTGAACTAAGAGATAAGTCGACTTGAATTTCAATCGAACGCTTTAAACTTAACATAAACTCTTAGGATCGGAACATTGGGATATTTCATGGTAAATATGAATATGACGCTGGCTGAAGGCCCTCGAGGGATAGCCAGTTGTAAGTTCTCGGACTTGCAACGAATTCCGTTAAAAATAAAATAAATAAATATGAATGTGACATGAGAGATCAAAATTTTGGGATATTTCATGAAATTTAAAATGTGAATATGGGATTAGAGGGATATTTCTTAATATTTTGCACCTAACGGCTTGACATTCTGGAAACTTTTGGTGATAACTCGGAATTAACTAATTGATTAATAATTAATAAGGACAGACCAGGCAATTGAAATTCATTTTTCCATTATTTATTGAGGCCAATCGGAATTTATATTCTCATCTCAGGGAATACTGCCCCCTCGCAGCCCCATTTTCGTCGTATTCTTCGTTTTATTAATTCAACTCAGGGTTATTTTCATCGAATGTAAAAAAATCATGGAAATAGCATTGGAATACATCGACCATATATTTTGTTAAATTGAATGGAACGTATCCGAGTGAAGCGTTTGGTGGTAAAAGCAGTGATCAATAAGACCACTCTGTGCCGGCACGTATACTTGTTTTATATACGAGTGAACAGTGCAACGAGGCACAAAACCCCAAGGTAAATACAATTCCGGGAGGAATGATAGAGAGAGAGAGACGGACGAGGAGAGGAGAGTTCCTCGACCCAGAGGCAGTGCGACGTTATCCGACATCGCGTACGCCGTTGTATGTACACTGAGGAGACACGAGTGGCATTATGCTCGCCGACACCCCGTTGCCTGTTCCTGGGCTTGCTCGATGTATCAATGTTTTGTGAATAAAACATACGCGAACAGAGCAAGCGCAAAATTACCAGGACTAGTATGTCAGGTGTACCTGGCTGCTGTCAATAATGTGTCGGTTGGTCGTGTATTTATGTCAGTCAGTTTTTTTTTTATTTTTATGGGGTTTAGGGGGATGTGAAAATTATTAGAGGCTAGTGAGCCGAATGAATACTTGGAAAACGGATATTTCTCTCTGTATTTAAAAAATCTAAATCGAGTTGTAGTGATGAAAATTTGAGGGTCGAAATTAAGAGTCATAAGGGTCAGATCAAGGGTTACAAAGGTCTCAATAAGGGTCATGAGCTCGTAGGCTCTATCTATATTATTAAAATTCAAATCGACTTCTGGTAATGAAAATTTGGTACTCGAAATTAAGACTCCAAATGAATGGGGGTCACAATAAGGGTCAGAATTAGGGTCATGTGGGTCGTATGGGTTATACAGAGGTCATACGGGAGTGAGCGAGGAGGGGGTGTAGCCCCCTAGTTTTAAAAATATTAATAGCTCATTGAATTTCCAATGAAATTTGATAATTTTTTTCTCCATAGAACGCAAAATTGTTTTACTTTGTGATGAGCCTAACTGGCTTCTATTGATACATTTATTCCTGAATTATGAACATTAGAAAGAAGTTTAGTGTTCATTTTGCTGTGCCCTCCCCTACACTGTAAGAAAATTTTGTTTGGAATGACGTGGGAACATTTGAAGAATTGCATGCTTAATCCACATTATTCAAATTAAATTTTTAAAAAATACTTCATGGGGACATTGCAATGATGGAAATGTAAGTTTCCAATTTTTTGTGTTAAGATGACTAAATATAGTCCAATTATTCCGAAATAACGGTATAAGGTTTAGATTTTATTGAAATTCCCCCACGACAAATCTATCGAATTTCATCGTTTTTTGCCCACTGAATGTAGACTTTAGTAATTGCTATTTGTCGATACCAATTTAACAACGTGTGAAATAGTTACCGAGGTATTCTCTTTTTAAATCATTTTTTCGACGATCATCATGAATCAAAAAATTTGTTCCAATTCCCTCTTGACCGAGTTCAAGACGGTGATGATAGCATTATTCTTTTTCCAGTTACAGCCTGGAACAATCAGGTTTTTATGTTAGACCCTTATGGAAGCCGGTTGTTGGTCACGATGATTCATAAATTGTACTAATCATTGCCAGCGCCAGACGTGTCCATTCGGAAGCGTATTGCTGATTTATTAGCAAAAAATAATTACGCGGGAGCGAAAGAAAAGCGATTACTTGTGCAATTATTTCATAAATCATTTTCAACAACACAATTCTAGAAGTTTTTTTTGTTCACAGGCGGTTTCTTAACGGTTTTAAATTGTTAATGATGAAATATTGAAATAACTGAGAATCGTTAATGTCAAGATGCTAAAATTATTGCAAAATGTGAGATAACTCAGGGTCACATGGGCTTCCAATGGAATCTCTGGTGTTTAACTACAAACGTTAAAGCCTGAGAATCGCTGAATTTCAGAGTTTTGTACTCACAGAATTTCATACCGGCGAATCCCCAATAATTGCCCGGAGAAAAATGTTGAGAAAAATTACCGAACAGTATTTTTTCACTCTATATCGGGGAAAAAAGGTGAGACGAATGGTAAATTTTTCTCCGTTGGGCAGGGAAAGTTTACTGAACGTGAGGATAATTCGTGCCGAAATTGTAAAAATTACCTTGCATTTCATCAAAAATGATTCCTGTGATCGTGAATGATTGCTCAATATTGCGTTTAATTTTTCTGTAATGGTGAATGATTTTTACCGATCGCGTTCGGTAAAATTTCACTTTCATTCGTCCCCATGACCCTCAGGGATGCAAAAAAAAATACCCTACCGGTGTGGGAAATTTTACTGTACAAGAAGATAATTTCTGCATCTATAGATCTGTGTTGGAGGAGGGGAACAAATCGTAAAATATCCTCTACAATCAGGCATTTTTATTGAATTACGTTTCGCTCTCCGATTTTCTAGGTAATTTCTATCCAATTCCTAACGTTTTAGGGCTTAACGTTTGCAGTTAAACCCTAAAAATTAGTAACGATGACACTATAAAATAGTGATAATGAATTTCAGAGTTTAGCACTCGCTAAATTTCACAATGACGAGTCCCCAATAATTGGGAATAAATTTCTGAAAATCAGTGACATGTCCCTGAAATTCACCTCTTTTGATCTCTGAGATTATAAATATCCCCTCTGCGAATAACAATGAGCCACTTGTCTCATGAGACTGCGATTCTATAAACCCCTAGTCCACCACCGGAAATGGACTTTTAATAGCATAACGGGGTCATTCATTTCTAATTGAGGAACCGACCGAGAATTTAATCGAAATATTCAGGATGGTATGGCGACACCATCGAATAAGCCAATGAGCGATCCACATCCGGAAGGCGCGCGCTTTGGAGGCAAGCGCGGTAATTGAAATTGTACGATAACTATGGTCTTTGGTCTCGCACACAACTCATCGCCACAGAGCGCAGAGCTTTGTCACACCGCGTGTGCGGTCCCTCAGTCTGAGGACTTCTCGTTTCATTCGGTGTAGACTACCCTCGCCGGACAAGCGTTGACGCTCCTACTCGACGGGAATACAAGTCACGAGTGAGTGAGTGCGGGAGTCGAGGAGACGTTGTCGATCATTCTTCGGTTGTCGGATGGATAGCATCGGCTGAATCACCCATGATTTTTTAAAATTAGTTCCGATAATTTCGAATGACTGAAAGATGTGAGTTTCTCCGTGAAGTTGTGAATTTTCTCTAATTTTAGTGAACATTGTGCCACAATTAGTGGAATTACAAATGATTAAAATGTCGACTGAGGAGACTAGAGTGGGTTGTTTCCAAGTGCTGCTATTATTCCTACTCGCAATAAATTGCATTATCGTTGCAATGAGTCACGCATTACCCGCATTCCACAATTACACCCCTAGATTTTACTGCGAGGTAATTCAACGCTCGTTTTACTTCAGTTGAAACTAAAATTGTTGGTGTAATTTTTTATCCAGCTTTTACGATCATGTTTTTAGAGTTCGGATCAGGGCAATCGGAGTTATGGATGCGTGCGTGGGGAGGAACGCGAGAATTCAACGGCTGCAGTGGGAGGAGGGGAATTTTGCCAGACTGAGTACATATTTGAGGCGGATCGAGGAGAGAAGAGCGTGGTTACTGATTGGGGGCTCGTTTGCGAGAGGAGTTATCTCAGGGATTTGGCTAATATTGTTTATTATGTGGGGGTCTCGATTGGCGCATTGATCGCAGGGGTTGCTGCGGACAGAGTTGGAAGACTTCCGGTTCTTGCGGTATGTCTGTATGCGCAGGGCACTATGGCCGTGGCTACTTACATTGTTCAGGTAATTTTTGAGCTTTTAGGGAGGAGGTTGGAACGCGGAGATGAGAACGTTGTGATTTTCAGGGACATGTCACTGATTTTCAGTGATCCAGCCGTAAGGCCGTAAGGATATCCAAGTATCGTTTACAGTTTGGTACTGGCCACACTATAGATTCAATAATTTTCAATCATCAAATTTGTAAATTGAATTGCGTAAGGAAAATTTCAAAGAAATTGTGAAGATTCAGCGTCATTCAAATTACATTTTGCCCTGAATTATTATTTTTTTAAACATTCGTTGTTTATGAATTATTTATGGAAAATGCTCGTAATTTTTCAAAAACTGCAATTTTTAAATTATTTAAAATCTTCCCTGAAAAGCTCTGATGTTTGATTACAAAAATCGAAAAACATTTCTCTGGGGAAAAATTAGTCAAAGTACTTGGATATCCTTTGAGGGGTTATTCACTAGTGAGTTCACTGTGTCACTACAGATTGAAATCAAATGAAATCAGTTCTGAAACCACTTGCAATGTGCAAATCAGCGAGACGAGAAATTTAATTTTGAAATGTCTGGGAAAGAAAGGAACATTTACTATTGATTCAACACCCGTTTTAATGAATATGGCTTACCGACTCGCAACAATACGAAAAAAAACTATTAAAAAAGCGAATCAAGAGAAACTGGGGCAAAATGAGAATATGGGGCGAATTGAGATGACGGAATTACAGGACTTCTGTTTTTTTCTTCTTTCAATGAGACAAATGAGTTCAGCGCTTTTTTCCTTGTAACGTCATATATAACAGATCAAAATGAAAAGGAAATTTTCAATAAAAAGGAATCTTATTTTTAAGAGAATCTCTAATCGTCGTTATCAGAAATAATTTAATTTTTATGGAAATGAGAGACTTTCAAATCGATACTTTCAAATAATTTGAAATCACTTTAAAATCACGTTGAAATCACGTGAAATCAGTAATCATTGTGTCACGGTATTCGACAGTGAATGACCCCTCGAACCAAGCAGTATAGTATATTTCGATACGAGCGCGTAAAAATGTTTTTTACTATTGCTCAGTTTTTAATGAATATCTTGGAATTTGAGAGAGATTTAGTAGATAGAAATATGGACGCAAAGTCAGAATTCCCTCCCGCTTCGCGGGAGGGAAATGGGCACTTTGTGCTCGCTGTTGCGAAAACAAAATTTTTGTCATTCTCTTTTTTGCAGCCCTTAATTCGATCTACAAAAAAAATTAATATGAAAATTTCCATATCTCCCTTGGATTCGGAGATATTCCTCGAAATCTCAGAATTGAGAAGAGCTCAGTTGACTTAAACCTTTTTACCGCATCGTGACTTCTTAGAAATCTATCACTAATTTTTGGGGATCTGCCTATCAATAAAATGACTGCATAATATCAGAGTTACCCGGTCTTCCTGGGTCTTCGCGGCCTGCAAGGGATATTCGCCCAAGGATTACACTCCGCGACATACGTTTTAATTCTGGAGTTGTTCCCAACAAAGTTCAGAACACTAATATTCACTGTGATGGGAATAGCCTGGTCCCTGGGATTACTACTCTTAGCTGGCCTCAGCTATATCATCCTGGACTGGAGGATTCTGCAATTGGCTGTTTCCGTGCCCACAGCCATTACCGTCCTCTACGTCGGGTAAACAATCATTCCCATTTCCAAAGTTTATACCTCGTCTCTAGAATAATACACCGATAAAGGGGTTTATTTACTGTCAAGAAGGCTTGCTAATTGTTACCAAATACCATGATTGAATAGTAATTAACGAATGATTCAGTTGAGAGGTAACGCGAGGTCAAATAAGGGGCCCTATCAGCTCAACTGAGTTAATTACTGACAAATCGTTATTTGATAAGAAGAAATCAATGCAATTTTTCAAGATATTTTTCAGGTGACCAACATTGAATTAGATTTAGAGAAAAAAAATAATGAAATGTCAAATTGTACTGAAAATTCAATGCTATTCCAAATTTTTGAGCTGGAGGCAGACAAGAATTCTCCAAATCACTTGAATTTTCGATTCAATTCAATTCAATCCCATTTAAATATCTGTTTAAATTTGTAAACGTGTTTTTTTATTTTACATTTTCCTCAGACTTTTATATCTTCCACATAATGATAATAATTTTTTTTCTTTCGTATGTAATTTTCATATTCTGAAAAAGATTGGCAACGATCATTGAAGATGATATTTTCAAAAAATGAAATAAAAAAATACTAAATATCGTTGGATTATATTGAATTGCACTGAATTATTGAAAGGCTGAAAGAATTATGATCATGTCCCCCACATCCCTCTTGGGCAAATATGGATATAAATACATAAAAAATTGTCTTCATATTTATAATCATATTCCCAATATTCGCATGTCCACTGTATTCGATATTTCCCTCTCTTCCCCCCTAAATTATCCTGAATATAACGCGATTGATTACCTGAATTTCCGCGATTTCTGGTAATTTCCATGAAATAATTGAACTGAAATCTACAGTTTCGAAATTAATTGAAATTTACCAAGAAGTTGGAAATTTCAGCAAGAAATTTTGAACAAATGTAATAAATAGACTTTGTTTTTATTGTATCCTTAACATCAATGTTCATTACGAAGGATTATCCCCGAGTCGCCAAGATGGTTGCTGGCCAAAGGAAAAACCACAGAAGCTGACATGGCACTCGAGAAAATTACAAAATACAATGCCTGCTGTTGTGGTGGCAAAGTGCGTAGAGAACTAGTAGCCGATAACAGTGAGAACACAACACCTGTCAAACCAACACGAAAATCTCAGGTTTTTTCTGACACGAAAGACATAACTGAAAGCGAAGCTGTAAATCTGCTAACGCCAACTAATTCAGCACATCGAAATTCCCGAAGTAAATTTATCTTCACTTTACGATCCACTTGTATTTTTTACCGAGAAACTCTTACGACTTTTCTTACATGTTCATTCTCCCGACTTTATTGCCACGTTGAAGAAGAGTGTTTTTTCATGCTTTATAAAATTATATTGACTGTGAAACCCTGCAGGAATCAGTTTACGTGCTATTTCGGAGAATCTGGAGAAACGACTATCGAATTTAACACCGGAAACGTCGGCTGAGGGGAATAATGGGGAGGTGGAGTTTGGGGAGTCATCTACGTCTCGGAGTAATCGAAATTCTAAGGCGTGCACTGATGAGACAATTGTTAATGATACTGGAAATGGGGGGGAATCGAATGATGCCACTTCGATCGAAGTGGACATTAAACCGATGGAAAACCACTTGTCTGAGGAGAGTCAGGTCAACGAGGACGAAGAGACTGAGAAACTATCGGGGATATCTGAGTCTTCCCGATCTACTAATCTGTTCTTTATCAAGTACAGCGGTGTCGTTGCATTACAATGGTATTTTTCAAAAATCGTTTAAAATACTTCATCTTCACATGGAGAAAATAGTTGGAGTCGATTTTCGGTAATTTTTCACCCTATTTCGAGGGTAATTTGTGCCGAAACTGTGAAATTTACCTTGCATTCCATCAAAAATTATTCCAGTGAACGTGAATGATTGTTCAATTTTTCTGCTACGGAGAATAATTTTTGCATCCGCAAATGTGTTTTTTTTTACCGAACGAATCGTAAAATATCCTCCACAAACGGGTATTTTTCCGTTGAATTACATTTCACTCCACGATTTCTTTTCGTACAGCAAAATTTGCCACGATTTTCTAGGTAATTTTTATCCAACTTTTCCCTCCCTGTAACAATTAATTGGGACATTTCGTGAAATACGAATCCAATATTTTCATTCCAAAATTCATATTGATTGAATGGTTGCACCTCCAATATTATTAGGAAAAATTACAGGTATGACTTTCACATGTATTTTGCAAGCCCCGATCATACCATTCCGATTTATTCCTCATCCTTTACATTGCTCAAATTTATAATTTCGATAAATATTAACTGAAATTAATTACCATCATTTTTTTTTAAATTATCATTTCAAATAAGTGACCACGTTTTTGGAATAACTAACGAATAAATCAATCAGGACCCACACCGAGGGAGTGGCAGCCACTTCCTCGTAACACATTTTTTCAATCTAACAACAAGAAAACTATCGAAAGAAATTCAACGGGACTTGCTGAATTAATTAATTTAGTGTCTCCGAGGGCCTATAATTTATTGTTCCAAATTACATGGAAAAAGAATCGTCGTAAAAAGTTCCAAGATGTTCTGAAAATTTCTACGATTATTTAGAAAATAATGAAATATGGAAGAACAAGAAAATACAAATGCAGATTGATTCAGAAGTTCTAGAAAATTCTGGGTTTTCCGCAAAATTTTATACTCTTATTTTTGACTTGACACCTATCATTCCAACGAAGCTTTCGGGAAAAATCCGATAATTTTAAAGTTCTCGGGGTAATACAACTGACAATTGTTCTCCAACATTTCTCTCCTTGTAATCCTGCTTTTGTCACTGTGATATTTTTACCTACAATATTCGGGGTTCACCCAAAATCAATGTCCTCATCAATAATTCAACCGGAAACCCACTACTAATCCCAATAATTCGCTTACAGGTTCTCGACATCCCTGGCAAACGCAATTGTATTGAAATCGCTGCCAAATTTATTAGAAAATCGACACATAAATTTTGCCGTTGGCGGTATAATAGAACTCGCTATTTACCTAGTCATCTATTTTATTTTGTCACGGCACGGAAGACGTTTACCACTGGGTATTTTTCAGTCCCTCAACAGCATGATTTGCATCGTGATAGCCGGGCTGGTATTCCTGCCTCGTCTAACGGCATTTTGGATTGGTACGCAAAGTGCGTGAGCGTCTCTAAATATTTTTTCGTGTTCCACTGTTTATTCTCAATTTTTAAATCGTTTTATATAATCTCAGTAAATTTATCTAATAATTCTTCTTACCCTCAGGCATTGCGAGAACGACATTACTGCTGTTGGGTAGAGTAACGACTACGAGTACAGTGGGTACAGTTTATTTGTACACCGTTGAGATATTTCCAACTGTTTTACGAGCTACTTGCTTAGGTGTTTTCACTGTTTTTGGTACGATTGGTTACCTCGGTGCACCGTACATCAGTGCTGTGGTGAGCATCAATAACAATTTACGGGTTATTTTAAAACGTTTTGGATGCTTTAAGTGATTATAAATTGCAGGAGCATTGTGTGCCCATGGGGGACTTTATGCTGGCGGCTTTGCTGTGTCTCATTGCTGGGCTGTCTTGTCTAGTTATGCCGGAAACAGTGAGCAAGGCACTACCGGATACTATTAAGGACGCGCAGAGATTAACTATTGGGGAGGATACTTGCAATGCTAATGGACGGGAGGATGCCGCCGCTGAGAGGGAAATCCTCAGGGAAAAATTGTTCTCCGAGGATTGGGTCGATGCTGGCAATGGAATTATCGTTAATTTTACGGAGAATAAAAATTGATTGGGATGAGATGGCGGAGGTTTGCAGGGAAGTGGTGAAGAACTGGAAATTAATGGGCTCAGGAAAATGTCGAGACTCTTTTTATGAGAAAGATTTTGTGATGAATTGGTTCGCAAATTTAAGGATGTTTTTGAGGATATCCTAGTACCTTTGCAGTTTTGTATGGAGAATAGCATAGGGGACATTAAATATTACGCGACACGATCAGGGGGGGGCGGGGCGACAATTGTCGTGTTGAATCAATTCACTGGGGGAAGAAAAAGGTTTTAACCAAAACATGATAATTGTCGTAGTAGTTTCTCTCGTGAGACATTTATATGTCTTTCGGGTAAATTCATTCGTTTCACAGAGAATTATATGAGACTCCGGTTTTATCTAGTGAATGGTATTGAGTAGTTTATATCTTTGTCCAATAAACAATTAATTTCCATGGAACAAATGATAATTTCAAGAGGAAACTACAATTTTCTTGCAGAGAACTTGTGTTGTGCTATTGTTTTATTGACAAGAGAATGAAGTTTAGTCATCCAATGTTGAAGGACAAAAATCATTGCAAACTTGGTAACTTGGAGTGTAATGGGGTATCATTGAAAGGTCTCAAGTTTGACAATAAATTTTCAAAAGAATAATTTTAATAAAAAAAACTGAGCGAAGTGCTTGGATATCCTTGAAATAATGTCAATATTTGAAAACGGTTGGAAGGGCTAGAAATTTTCACCACTCCAATACTGTTTTGTACATATCTTCGTTTTAAGATGCTTGATGGACCAAAATATTTTCTACTAATAATGCATAGACTTTGTTCCTATTGTAGACTGAGTAGAATTCCTTTCTCTATGTGATGATGTTCGAGTTTAATTTATTCCGAAGTAAATTCCTCTATTAAAGCCTTAAGATTATGCGCACAAATGTCATTATCAACGTTGAATATATTGTTTACGAAGAGAATAATAACCATTGAGATAAAATGAGGAGAAATATTTATTACGTGATAAATATAAAACCATTTTACTTGAGATCTATCACAGCTAAACCGCTCGATCCAACTGTATGAATATGTTCGGAGGAAGGAGAATTGTCTCTGGGGCAGTAAGATACAGGAGGTGAAGTAATGCGGGTGCTTGGCGAGCGTCATTCACTTGAGTTTGGCGTTTTTGTTTATCAGGGAACTTTAGGTTGAGCAATTCCATTGTTCTGGGGATTTACGTGCTGGGGCGTTTGCTCAGCTGCCTGCTGGAGTAATCTCGTTCTACGACGAGTGTAGTGCTGCCAGAGGAGAATCTGCTGGTCGTCGATGAATTTTGTACACTGGGAATTCACTACTTCACGCCTGAAGTGCTCGTACTGGAGGAGATCCAGGAAGTAGAGACACATTGGGTATTTTAAGTACTTTGCATACTCGGGTTCTTTCCAGTAGAGGAGGTACTTGAGGTAGTTTATGAATGTTGAGTCCTTGAAGTAACCACGTTGGGCTAGAACTGAGGAAAATGAGGAGAAAACAATTAATTGTTGAGGACTGATTAGGTATTTTGCTTCAGACGAGTGATATTAGACTATCAAATTTTTTTTGACTGAAATTTTTGGTACATTTTTGGAACCATTCATCACGTTTTAGTTACACCCAGATTTCAAGGAATTTTGTCATTAAAAATTGAGAATTCCATAGGAAAATCTAAAATAACTGTAAATTTTAGTTCAATTATTCCATGAAAATTAATAGATATCGAACGGGATATGTTTTATAAGTTTCCTGGAGGCTTCTTAGCATTTAAAATTTGAAAATGTTAGATCATGTTGGGCAGAAAGTGAAAGAAATGGCGAGAAAACGAATGGACTGAGAATTCTGCTTAATTTTCCTCGTTTTAGGATGGTGCATTCATCTTAAAAACTATTGATCCTAATAAAAAACATTCAAAAGAAAAATGTTTTACATTATTTTCTTCTAGAATTATTCATCACGACATTAATATGACACTAAACCAGGTGTTATGAATAATCTATTCTGTTGCGTAAACTCAAATATAATTTTTTGTTATTAATCGCTTATTATTGTACTAATTTGATACTTGGCGAGCTGTCAAAAATAAACTGATTATGTTTTTGGAGTTTACAACTCGTCTTTCGAGCCTTCAAATTGAATCTAGACTTTTTGAGATTACTTTCGAAACTACGTTTTTACAAATAAGTTTATTTGATTGAAATTAATCCTTTAACTTAGTTAATGAAAATCAATACTTACAGTTCAAATAATTAGGATTTGCCAAACACTGAACAAATTCGAGTTCCACTTGAAAACGCAAACGCTGCTGATCGTCAGTTTCTGGTACACCTGAGAAACAAAGTAAATTCATTGTAGACTCCAAACGCTCGATTGTTTGGATATTTTTTATCATAGACTACAACGAAAACATAACCTACTCACCGTTCATCGCAATGTATGATGGCTTTCGGCCTTTCAACAGACTCGGTGGATCATCCAAACGACTCATATTATTCCACCACCGATGGCAACTGTCTTCTGTTCACGTTTTCCCCTCGTTATAATGGCAATTCACTCATTTGCGGGATATTGTAATTAGTGAAAATGTCTAAACAGCCCAGAACACATTATCTGGGCACAGAAAACCAGATAACCCGAAAGATCTAGCAACGAGGCACCAAAAACAATGGGGGGGGGGTCATTTGTACCATCTATTTCGTTTCGGACCCGTTCTAAGGAAAATGACAACAGTACAGAATCCGGTGGAACAGATGGGCACGGAAATTTGCGGACACATTTCCGGATGGGCAGATTCTGAGAAGGTGGTTGAAAAGGGCTCGGTATTGGAGAAATTTTCAGGAAATGATTTACCAGTCGACATGTTTAGTGCAGCGGCACGGTGAAAGATGGCGGAATCATTTTCATTTCAAGCGAAATTGCTAACCGAATCGAACGGGCCATCGGGCAGTAGAATAAAATGAGTTGAATCAGCCAGTGGAAAAGTATATGAACTATTAGCAACGAGAAAAAGATTTTGTACGGTGCATATAGAAATTACGACAATCTTTTGAACGGTAATGATCGATTTTGGGCAATTTTTTGCGCGCACTCGGAGGCGCCAGAAATGTCGAAATAAAAATTATTTTCACCGGGGGCCAGGATCTTGGATTTTTCCAGGGGGATAGTCGACTTACGTCAAAATAGAATTTTTGAGCCGGGCGAACGTTGATTCCAACTATTTAAGCGACGAGCTATTCAAAACTCTCAAAAGTATGTGGAAAAATTGAAAACTGAAAAAAAAAAATTTTCACCGGGGGCCAAAGTGTCAGATCTTGGATCTTTTCAGGGGGAAAGTAGGTCAAAGGGTCACAAGGGTCACGAGGGCCAAAGTGTTGGATCTTGGATTTTTCCAGGAGGAAAGTCAACTTTCGCCAAAATCGAATTTTGTAGCCGGGTGAACGTTGATTCCAACTATTTAAGCGACGGGCTTGTCAGAACTGTCAAAAGTATGTGGAAAAAGTGAAAACTGAGAAACCGGTTTTTTTGGCCCCAGCCAAAGTTTCTGGTTTTCAGTTGAAAACCAGAGTTGAAAACCCGAGTTTGTAGCAAAGATGTCAGACAAGATATGAATGTTTTTTTGGGCTGAAATGAAAGAGCGGGTCGAGAAATAGCGTGCTAGGGCCTCTAAAGATGGTTTTGAACCAGGGGAGACTCCTAGACCCCAATGTTCTATCCACACTCCTAGACCCCATTGCCCTCCTAGACAATGTTGTCACAACTCTGCTTTTCAATTGAAAACAGACATCATCCTTAGAGACATTTGTCATATTTAGAGGCCCTAGCACGCCATTTCTCGACCCGCTCTTTCATTTGAGCCAAAAAAAACATTCATATCTTGTCTGACATCTCTGCTACAAATTCTGGTCATCAACTCTGGTTTTCAGTTGAAATTGGAATTGTTAATTTACACAATAATAGGAGTGCATTGACGATTTTGTCTTAACTCGCAAAAATCTTCAAACAATTTGCTACCGATTGGTGATAAAATTTTTTGGAAATAATGAAATAGGGGGGATAACGCCTTTTTTTTCAGGGGTGATTTTTCAAAAATTTATTTTAAAAAAAGTACTAACTAGCAAATGTTTTTCATTAACTCGCAATTTTCTTCAAAACTACTTCAATGAGGAAAAAAATAATAATTTGGAATATCTCTACATGAGGGGTTAATTGATCGGATCTGTTCCACCGCCTTTCATACTGTCGCTATTTTCTCTAGAACGTGTCCAAAACGGAATGTATCCGTTACCCCCCAAAATTGTTAACGACGAGTGTAATTTCTCTGAAAAATAATGAAGTAAACCTCAATAATCAGGAATTTATTGTTGAATAAACAATGAACAGTCACAAATATGTTTTTCTTCCTCAAAATAAATTATTCCTCAATAAAAAGTACTTTTTCCAATACAAGTGGCGCCCTCCCTTTGCAATCCCCCGCACGAACCATTCTCCCGCCATTCTCCGCGAGCCCAAGATGGCGCCCAGTGTAAAGACGCCGTAGCCTCACAACCGAGTGTTCCACCACTTTCCACCGACATTTCCCAGTCCAATGCCGGTTTGACGGAATCAAAACAAATATAAAATCCAATACATCAATCCCGTGTGTTACAAAAGCATAATAAACCTCGAATAAGTGCATAATGAGTCGTCGTAAGCGGGCCAAGGTGGGTAAATCACACTCGTGTTGCATTGTACATGCCTAACGAGTGACAACACAATGTTTAAGGTTGAGTATCGAGAGATGGAGGAGAAATACAATCAGCTGGAGGATGAAAATGCATCGGACACATCGGAGAAATCGAAAACTGGCCTTGGTACACCGGAGAAAAAATTGTTGAATGAACAGGCCAAGGTCAGTGAGCCACCAGCTCCAATAGCAGCGACATCAGCCCCCAAAAACGAGGTCAAGGAGGAGGATGAGCAGGACAGCGATCATGAGGACCCTCACGGTGAGATTATCACTAAATTAATTATCTCTGAGATGGAGCATTTTTTTCATGATTCATCTGTGCAGTTAAAGAGCTTCTGAATGGGCTGGAGGGAGCTGCCTTCCAGAGTCGTCTTCCTTTCGATAAATTAACGTCCACAGAGGCTGTTTGCTTCCCCGATATATCGTCTGGACCTCCGCAGACGCAGAAAGTGTTTCTTCACATTAGAAATCGATTGGTGAGTCTTCTGCACATTTCATCTTGGTTTCAGAAATTTTTAATGGTTTTGTTGGTTGATTGCAGCTCCAGTTGTGGCTGGAGAACCCCAAGCAACAGCTGATCATTGAGAATGCTCTACTGGCTATTGAACCACCGTATAACAGCGATCCCGTCCTCACGAGACGCATCCATGCATTCCTGGAACGTCATGGATTCATCAATTTTGGTGTATTCAAACGGTTGAAGCCTATACCAACGAAAAAATTGGGGAAAGTCATTGTGATTGGTGCGGGGATCGCTGGACTCGCTGCTGCACAGCAGATGCAGCAGTTTGGGCTTGAGGTTATTGTGTTGGAAGCAAGAGTGAGTACTTTGTAATTTTTTATGTAAAATAATAGAGGAGGGTGGGGCCAAATGGACGTTTTAGGTTTTTCAATGGTGTTAACTCAAGAACAAATTTATTAATTGACTCCAATTGGGGCTCATCACAGAGGGAAAGAATTGCATCTTTCACAGAAAAAATAATTCCATTTAGTCACAAATTCAATGAGTTATCGAGATTTAGAAGAAGAGATACGTTTCGAACATTAAGTGGCGAAATTTCTCACCAGGGTAACAATCCATATTTTTATGTGGCAGATATTTATTAAATCTTGAGGAGAAACTAGGGGGAAATTGATTTATGTGTATTTTGACAGGAGGATTTAATTTCTGTGGGAATTACTTGGTTCGGTTATTTTACTGAATTGATTGCTGAATTATGAAGTACAATTCATGTGGATTTCTTTCGCAGGATCGTGTGGGTGGGAGAATTGCAACCTTCAGAAAGTCTTCGTACATAGCTGATTTAGGAGCCATGGTGGTTACTGGGTTAGGTGGAAATCCTGTAACGACTCTGAGTAAACAAATTAGTATGGAGTTACATAAGATCAGGCAGAAGTGTCCGCTTTACGAGAGTGACGGACAGACTGTGAGTATTTGTATTAATCTCGAACATTAAGAATAAGAAATTCCAAATTTTTTAGGTGTAGGAAGATGAGGATTTTTCAATTTAGTTGAATTTTCATTCAAAACATGAATATTTATGCCGCATTCTCAATTAACTAAAAATTCAAGAATATATTTGTCTTAATTTTCCCAATTTCTATGAATTTCATGGAATAATTGAGCTGAAATAGTGGATTCTCTATTTTCAAAGATGAAATGCCTTAAAATTTCAGTGAAATCATAGTGATAAAACTTCCTAAGAATTGTATCAGCAATTTCAGCCAAGGACTTTTGAGCATGGAAGTACGATTATCCCTAAAAAAAGAAGATACCCTGTTATTAATGTAATAATTTCTGTCTCCAGGTACCGAAGGACAAAGATGAAATGGTGGAAAGAGAATTCAACCGATTATTGGAGGCAACGTCATACCTCTCGCATCAGCTTGATTTTAATTACATCGGGAATACCGGACAGTCAGGTAATACAACGAGGCCAGTCTCATTGGGCCAGGCATTGGAATGGGTAATTAGACTTCAAGAACAGGGCGTCAAGCAGCGTCAAGTTGCTCATTTCAGCTGCGTACTTACCCTCCAGAATAGACTCATTGCTAATCAGCAACGTGTACGTATGCGCCTTCTCCCCTTAAATTTTCCCAGGGAGTTTTTTCAAAGTATTCGTTTATTTATCTACCCTTTTCCTTGTCAAACCACAGATGATTGCCATTAAGGAGAGACTGGCCGAGCTTAACAAGCAGTACAAAGAGATGACAGAGAGCAAATTACAAACACGAGATATTACTCAGGAGTTTGTACAACGGTCAAAGTTGAGGGATGTCCACAATGCTTGCAAGGTAATCATGAAATTGACTATAATTTATTTTGTGAGTAAAGATTAAATTCTGGGAAAATTTTGTTATCTTTTCTCTTTTTTTTCATTGTTTCCGAAAAATTTGTCAGCGTGAAATTTCTGGGAAGAAATTTTTATAGAAGAAATATAGCCTAGATATCTCGTTTATTAAGGAAATATTGTTGTGTGCTAGGAGTGGGACCAGCTTGCTGAACAGCAGAAGGAGATTGAGGCAAAGTTGCAGGAATTGGAGGCCTCTCCACCCAGGTAATATTTGCAAGAGATTACATTAAATTCATTTTACATAAACAAACAGATAAGGGAATTCGTTCATTGAACATTCTTAACAATTCATTAAATTCAAATGATTACATTCATTTTTATCAAAGCCCCCCTTAATCAATTAATAATACTTCTCATTATTATCAGCGACGTTTACCTGCCACTAAAAGGCTGAATTTGGAATTATTAGTTCTTTCGAATTGACTGAATTCTAATTAAGAAACAGACGTTTAATCGTGCACCCCTGAAGCTAGACGATATTAAATAACATCAATAACACAGCCCAGTGGTTTCAGAAACCATTTATTAATCCAAAATCGCGACCCCGATAGTTCCCTCCCTTTCTAATCATGCCACCCGATACTGCTGTATTTAAAAGCCAATCCAGTAATACTAATGAGAGGCATCAACATCATACCAAATTCATCCCCACATAAATAAGCAGATAACAGAATTCCTTCATTGAACATTCCTAACAATTCATTAAATTCAAATGCTTACAGTCATCTTTATCAACCCCCTCCCCCTCCCCTCTCAATCAACTAATAAAACCTCTCATTATTATCAGCGACGTTTACCTGTCATCAAAAGACCGCCAGATTCTCGACTGGCACTTTGCAAATCTGGAATTCGCCAACGCCACCTCATTATCAAATCTCTCGCTGAAGCACTGGGACCAGGACGACGATTTCGAGTTCACTGGGAGCCATCTGACCGGTAAGTTACAACTCATTCTATACAATGTATTCTCCCCCCATCCTCATTCTCTACCCAAATAAAAGGCACCGAAACGTACGAAAGAGAAGTTTAATAAAAAAAAAAAAAGAAATATATGTTGCACACATGAAGGCAAAACCATTTGGTCCCTAATTGAAATACGCGCGCCTGAAATTAATCTACAATCTCTCGTCGTTAAATTCAAGCCCGTACCGCTAATCGAGGACCGAGGCAAAAGGGCGGCAAAGGTAGATGGAATAAACGATTCGAGTGAGAAAAACAGTGGTGGGAATGAGGAGGAGAGAGAAAAGGCTGGGTGGGAGGGGAGGTCGACCCTGCATACTGGAGGGTGGTGTAATCCATGTTGAGTATTCGTGTAAGGCAGTATGTACTGGGCGCAACATGTATGCGGTACTCTGTTGCACCATGAAGTCCCGTAGAAGATACTGCACCCAGGGGGGAAAAAGATGGTGTAGATAACGCGTGAATTATTCCCGCTTGCTGCATCTCTTTTTAACATTCCCCCCCCCCCTTAAACCCCTCCCCCCTCCGCCTGTACTATAACATCTACTGGCTCTCTCCTTCATTTGAGTCCCTCATCCTGGTCTTGGGGTTACTGGGAAAATTGTCTTCGATATATCTCACCATTCACTGCCCCCCCACGAGTTGACTTTATCAGGCTTATTAAAAACCGATAGTGAGATTCTCTGTAGATTACAGCTGGGTACAATCTTACTATGCGATCTCGCATTGGTTAGGCTTTGGGGTCGTGCTGACAGGAATAATGTGGAAACCATTGCTGATGACATATTTAAGGTTTCAAATGGTGGAGGTGAGGTTAATTGAGCATTTGGATTTTTGATGGTTTTATGAAATTTATGGGAATTGATCATTTTGGGGGATATCATGGATGTGATGGAATGAGAATCTGCGGAGGGTTCTGCATTATTAAATCTGAATGTCCGGACGAAAAGGGACCACTTTGTCGGTTTTTTGTCGGTTCTAGTTATTCACGTTTTGGTCTCAGCAACTCCCATTTATGTTGAATTGTTTTTTTCATCTTCTCCAGCGGGATCAAAGTGTGGGGAATGTTATCAATATTATTAGAGTATACAATAACTCTATATCGGCAAAGTGGTCCCTTTTTATGTGACTTTCACAATGCCGACTCCCTACGAAACTGACTTATTTATTATTCGTTAATCTAATTTTCATCAGGAGTTGTTACAGTTCCCAACTGGAGTCACCCCCCCCCCCCCAGAGTTTACTTTATCAGGCTTATTAAAAATTGATAGTGAGGTCTCGTATACAATAGAGTGGAGTACAAACTCACTATGCAATCTAACATCGGTTACTCTACGGGATTTCGGTGACAGGAATAATGTGAAGCCACTGCTAATGACATATTTAATTATTCAAATGGTGGAGGTGAGCTATTATGAGGAGTGGAGAAAGGTGTTTTTTTATTGAGGATCTCTTTAATTTAGGATTCGGAGTTTTCATGATTTGTTGAAAGTTAGGGGAATTAATCTTTTTTGGGGATGATTGTGTGATGGAATGAAAATCTGCGGACGGTTCATCATTATGAAGTGACAGAATTCAGAGTCATAAACGGGAGGGATTTCCACAATGCCGATTCGCTACGAACGTTTAACTCATTTCTAAATAGCAAAACAAAACCGTAAAACCAATTTAGTTAGTAGTACTGGCCAGAATAGTCTTTAAATCTCTCACAACTTTAATCGCTCTAATTGAACACAATCATTCATCTGTAGAAATCCGAATTATCAATTTTTACAACTTCGATACATTCTAATCAAGAGAAAGATGTTGAATTATATATCTCCGGAGCGGAACGATATCACGCCAGAGCTATAACATACGCCACCGATCTCAGAAATCACTTATCAATCCAAAATCACGTTCTCGACTTGCTGAATACATGTCTAACTGAGAAAAATCGATAATTCCCCCCTGCGTCAACAGAGATTCTATCGCGGTTCATCAAATCATGCTAGATGATTGTATTGCACTTAAAAGCCAATTTGTAGCTCTATTTCCCTCACTAATTGAATTTTTATAAGGAGTTGTTACAGTTCCCAACCACAGTCAACCATACTCTCCCCAGGGTTGACTTTATCAAGCTTATTAAAAACCGATAGTGAGATCTTGTATAGATTAAAACCGAGTGCAATCTCACTATGCAATCTAACATTGGTTTCTCCTCGGTGTCTCTGTGACAGGAATAATGTGAAGCCATAGCTAATGACATATTTAATTGTCCAAATTGTGTAGTAGTAGATAAATTTTTAATTAAAGCTCTACGATTCAATCGATCATTCCGTTTTTTAAAAATTCAGTGCAATTCTTTGGAGTTAATAATTTTGAAGAGATAATTGAGTGATTAAATGCGCTTCTGTAGATGGCTCCACATTATTTGATTTAATCATTCTCTTTTATCCTCGTTTTATCCATTTTCTATGACATTAACTCGCTAAATTGGATTTTTCATTAAGCGGAGGTAGTAATAGGAGAGTGCGGTACTGTCGTTAAACTGCGAGTAGAAATGGGAATAGGGAAAACATTCGATGATGTTCGGAGGGAATGTGATCGGTATATGATAATGATCTTTATTAGTGAAGCACCTAAGGGAGTACAAAGGGTCCAGTTGATGAGATTTTATTGCATTCTATTCTGAATCTTACGATAAGGAGGCAATGTACTACCTAGGTACGATGAATCACTTTTATTTGCCATTCAATTTGGCTGGGGATTCGATTTTCCCCGGGGGTTTATTATTTTTAGGTCTACTATTCTTCTCCAGGAGTTGTTTATGATGACTTTAACTCGTGTTTACGTATAATTGTCCATGAAATTGCTGGCTCTTCATCGCAGTTTATTAATGACAACGGACTAATTGTATTTGCTTTCAGAAATTGAATGCATTCTTTTTTTTTTCTGTTATTCCTTCGGGTTTTATCTTCTTTGAAATTGTTACGGAAAAGCAAACAATGGCACCAGTGATTACACACAATCGTGGCGTGGCAGGAAGACCAGAAGAATGACGAGTTGATGGTTTTTTGTGCGTTTTTGGATTACAAAGTGAAGGTATTTTGGTATTTATCCTCATTTTTGCACGGTTTTCGCAGCATTTGGCCTTGCGAAACCGACGGTTAACTCGCAACTATTATTGTGCGGTTATAGTCAGTGTTTAATGATAGTGGTTTTCGGGGACTGGTGGTAATTCCGGGAATAGTGACACGAGTTGCCCCTTCAACTGTTTGTTAGTTTATATGTACGAGTTTGGGTTTTAGCTCTCAAGACCAAGAGGAGGGAAATTATATGGGGCAGTCCCTTTGGCTGTCTCGGTTTCTCCAACCCCCCTCCAGTGACATTCCCAGCGGTTACGGACGTTTATTAAACTGCACACTCAACCTCACTTCGAAATCCCAGAATGTGTGTCAAGTTAAGTTTTAGTAGTTTCATTCATTTTGTTTTTCGAATGAATTCGAAATTTAATTAAATTCCATCGGACTCCGGAAAACATGAGGGAATTGAAGTCTTTGCATGGACAATAACATCTTACATCAGCAGTCATAATATTATACATTCACTGCACTGAAAAAAATTCTTATTCTCTCTGCTAAAAATTCAAGAAAGTTGAGGAATTCTCATCATCTTGCTCTTCGAAAATTTGTAATTTCATTGAATTCTCAGTGAAATTTCATGATGTTTAATGAAGCCAATCAATGTTAATCATCGATCGATAATTCACTTCTATGAGACATCGAAGAAACTGGAATTGTTGAAATTACTACTAAAATAACCCTTTCATGTCCCCTATTCTTTGGAAATCCATATCCATTTTTCGAACAGATCAAAAAAATTTGAGAAAACGGTTTATTTGAATTCAGTGAATTCAGTGCGGAGAAATGTACACCTTCGTTTAGACAGATACTATCAGAAATCGGTGAGACAGAAGTCCACTGAGATAATAACCATTCCGGTGAATTCTCCCATCCCCCCCCCTGGATAAACTCCTGAGGTTTTGGGTTACAGAATAGTGTATTTAGCACAACCGACGAGGGCTATCGTTAGCCGGTCTCTATTCATAAACTAAACGACTCCTTATCTTGATTAGACACACGTGTTTCACGCAACCGGAGGGTTTAGTCTATGGTCTTGGTCATCTTTCGATCGTTTTCTTTTTGTGAGTAGTTTAAGCAGCAGTTTATATCAAGGGGAGTTTTCTTCCCCTCGGATAATCCTTCTGATTGTATCACAATGGGAAAATCTACCTGGTTTGGATATTTCGGTCAACTTGAGATGAATTTTTGATGGTTAACGATCCTTGATATACAACTGTTGACAAGGATTTATTTCTCCGAGGGCGTTTCATCCGTTGGCTTTCATTTTTTTTTCTTACTCGTTTTAACGATAAACAGGTCGCGCTACTCCTCCTCAAAATAATCGTGGCCCAGTGGTTAGGAAGGATGTCAGAGAATGCGACATGGCATTTGTGTCTTAAATATTTTTGCTTTTTACTGTTTGAGCAAGATGGGATTGAAGATGGAGAAGCAGGCCAATGTTTGAGCTGAGTTTGTAGATACGAGGTTATATATACAAGGGCAAAATTTTTTGAAACGTTACAGGGGCTCGCTGATGGACCACAGATCCAACATTTCAAAACTATTTTCCAGTGGCATCACTAAAAATTGACGAATAAAACATACACCTTGTGTATGTGTGCGCTGGTTTGTTGGCTTTTGCCGGCGCTGGGGTTTACAACTGATGTGATTCTTATCGCTTCTCGCTCTCCTTTGGATCGCTCGCGCGTTTCGCATTCCATTCCGCTTCAAGTCGATCGAAAAGACGAATCGGATAAAAAGTGATTTCGAGACTTTTCAATTACTGAACTGCATTCGAAGGATCATACCTGTGCACTTCGAGCTTCTTCTCTTACTTTTTAGTTTTTGTATGTTTACCTTTCGTTGCCTTTC